CAAATGCATCCAAATGCATCCAAATTTAGAAGTCACTAAATCAGTGTTTCTCAACCTTGGCAACTTGAAGATGTCCGGACATCAACTCCCAGAATTCCCCAGCCAGCATTCGCTGGCTGGGGAATTCTGGGAGTTGAAGTCCGGACATCTTCAAGTTGCCAAGGTTGAGAAACACTGCACTAAGGCTGCATTACTATTACTAGTCTCATCATTCCTATCCCCCATCTCCTCCCACTTATGACTGCAGGACTTTGTTGCTTGTATCCTTACAATTTATACTGATATTGTTTCCTGATTGCTTATTTGTACCCTATGATTATCATTAAGTGTTGTGCCTTATGGTTCTTGATTAATGTATCTTGTCTTTTGTGTACACTGAGAGCATCTGCACCAAAGACAGATTCCTTGTGTGTCCAATCACACTTGGCCAATAAAGAATTCTATTCTATTTATTTCTCTTCTGTTTTCTGTTCTATTTTCTATTCTATTCTCACTCTACTCTACTTCTATTCTAAATTCTTCATTATTCTATTCTATTCGCAACAAAAAAACCCTTCTCGCTTGGCCACCTAAATTGGGGGGGGGGGTTTGTTGGTCCCTTGTGGTCGTAAGTCGAGGACTGCCCGTACCAGAGTCCGCCTAAAAACTGTTTTCTGCCCCTCAAAAAAACCCCACCGCGAGGCAGCAAGGCCCGCATCCGAGAGACCGGGGCCCGCCTGACAGCTCGGCCGGACGGGCCAAACGCCTCCGGGCCCCTCACGGCGGGAGAAGCCGGCCTCACCTTCTCCTCCCTCTCTCTCTCTCTCTCTTTCTCTCCCTCCCTCCCTCCGCGTCGTCGGTTCTTCGCCTGACAGGCCGCCCCTGACAGGTTCTGGCGGCGGCGCTGGGCCTTACCCGAAGAGTCCCGAGAAGAAGCCGTGGGAGCCGCGGATTTTCTTGTCCGCCTCGGCCAGCAGCTGCAGCGCCTCCTTCTCCTTGCCGCTGGTGTCCATCGCCATGGCCGGCGGAGAACGGCCCCGCGCCCCGCGGAGAAGCCGAAGCTGAGGGGAGAAAAGGGGGGCAAAAAAAGGCCGGACAGACGGACGAGCCTAACTGTCTCCCCTCACCGCGGTCGCTCTCCCTTCAGGCTGAGGGGGAAAAAAAGAGACGTCGCCTGACGCCCCCACGTCGGCACGCACAGCCAATGGGCGGCGGCGGCGACTGTAATTCCCGCCCCCAAACCCCATCGGCACGTGATCTAAGCCGCGCCCCCTCCTCTCTGGGCCGCCGACGCACGCCCCCCCGCCGGGAGTCTCCCTCACGTGACTCAAGGCCGTGCTGACTCACCAGCGTCACGTGACCCCGGGCGACGTCCACCGCCGCAAGGCGAAGACCGCTCGGGTGGTAGAGTCCAGGAGAGGGGGGGACGGGGAGGGGGGTTTTTAAGGCCGAGTTGGGCTGTACCATTTTTTTTATTTACGGGGGAGGGGATTTGAAATCCAATGCTTCGCTCGAAGGAAACTGGAACTGCGGACTTTTTTTCAATGGGCGCTTCGGGTTTTTTTGGGGGGGTCCTCCAATTTGCCCATGGTCCGCAGCCCGGTTGGTTGGGGATTATGGGAGTTGTAGTCCAGTGACCTCTCTTAGTGCACCCAAGCCAGGAAGTTCTTGGAGGCTTGAAAATCAGGGGGAAAGAGTACATTTTGCAGGCGCCAAATTTGCAGCAATCCCATTGTGCCCATCTCAGGATCTCTTCTAGATGGGGGGGGGGGTGTCTCCCAACTTGGCTATTTTTTAAGTCTTGGGGGACTTTGACACCCAGAATTCCTCAGCCACCAGGTCTGGGGAATTCTGGGAGTTCAAGTCCCCAAGTTTTAAAGTTGGTCTCCTGCTTGACGCAGGGGTCTCCAACCTTGGCAACTTTAAGACTTGGGGACTTCAACTCCCAGAGTTGAAAAGCTGGCTGAGGAACTCTGGGAGTTAAAGTCCACAAGTCTTAAAGTTGCCAAGGTTGGAGACCCCTGTGTCAAGCAGGAGACAAAGTGATGTACCTGTGTCTTAGCAAGCTTTGCTGGCTGAGGAACTCTGGGAGTTGAAGTCCACAAGTCTTGATTGTAAATGTGTTTTTATTTTCCATTTTCATTTCNTGCAGAAAAGGTGGGGGAAAGAAGAAAATCAGCAAGAAATTTTTTTGAAGGAAGTTTTTTTTTTTTTAAAAAAGGAAGAAAATGACATGGTATTTATACCACCATAGTCAGCACCTGCCACAAACGAGATATGAGGACATCTGGTTCCGTTTTCCTAAGAAAAGTCAGCAAATCTTAACAATATTGAGGAGTCCAAAGACGACAGAGCAGAGAAGCGGGGCCAGCAGAGATGTAGTAATTATATGAATCTATGTTCTTATTTATTGATTTGTATCCCTAATGTCGTTGTGGCCCGCAAGCGGAGCTGGTGGCAGACTCAGTGAGGAGGTTGGGGAGGAAGATGGGCCAGTCCTGGAGTCTGGGGAAGGCTCTGATGGGGGGGGCTCTGTGTCAGAGTCAGAGCGGGGGCCAAGGCCGTCCGACAGTTATCAGCTGCCTTCGGAGTCAGACATCAGTGAGGCAGACGAACAGCTGGAGCCTGTTCCCGGTGTGCACATGCGCAGTTTTTAATTAAAACTGGCAAAACTCAGCCCTGGTAGATATTCGTTTCCACACCTCTATTGTGAGTCGGTATGTTAAGGAGGTGCAGTTTTACGAGGGTTCAGTGAAAGGCGGAGAAAAGGAATAAAAGCGACTGTACCTGCTCATAGATTTCAATAGCTTTCTGGTATTGCTCCAGCTGAGCTGCATAGGTGGCCACTTTCAGCAAACATTTGTTGGCGGAGCTGCAGGAAGAAAAAAAGACAACTGGAGGCAACTGGGCACGGGAAAACCAGCAGCCCCTCTTCCCCACCTGCCAACGCAGACTCCATCATGCCCACCCAGGGCAACAAGACTCCCAAAGTAGCCGAATGCAAAAGATGCAAATACGAGTTTAAAAAGTAGCTTGAGTGGGAGAACGGGTTGGGTTTGAATTTCCCCCAAGGTTTTTCTCTTGCTGGTCTAGAGAGACTCCGAGTAGAAATGCATCTCTCCAAGGTAAGGAGGGAGATAATGTGTCTGTAATGAAGATTTCCAGAAAGGGCTCCTAGCAACCAGCTCTACCCAGGAGTCAAGATCTTTTCAAACTTGAGGACTAGCGTGAGGGTGGAGGGTCACCTAAGAGCAGAGGTGGGTTCCTACCAGTTTGCACCAATTCGGTAGAACCGGTTCGTCAAATTTTTGAAACCCACTACACACACACACACAAAGACAGACAGACAGACTCACACAGCGAGAGAAAGGGAAAGAAATAAAGAAAAAAAGAAAAAAAGAAAAAGTGAGAGAGGTGAAAGAAAAAAAGAAAAAGGGACAGAGACACAAAAGGAAGGAAAGAGAGAGAGACAGAGACAGAGAGAGAAAGAAAACACATGGCCGGCAAGCCACTCCCACAAAGGAGGCCACACCCACAGAGTAGGTTCGAAAAAGTTTTGAAACCCACCACTGCCTAAGAGGCATTTCTGACTTCTTAGGGGTCTTAAAAGCTGCTACCGAAGCAATAAATCTTTTCTCCATAATAACTACATTCAGAACAATCCATTCAGACGAGATAACCCATAAGGAGTTGGGCCCTGGGTGTAAAGAATTATGAAAAGTATGATGCCACCTTGGATGGCGGATGGCCTGAAGACGCTCCCAACGCCTTGTTAGCCTCCCAGCCTTTGAACTTTTTAACCTGATTCATTTTGACTTGTAAGCTTTAGCTTGTTTTAACCCTGTTCTTAAGCTATGCTTTTTCATGCGTGTGTTTATATGGTTTTCATTAATTTGTTGTAAAATGCCCAGAGTCACTGAGGTGAGAGGAGCGGTGTAGAAATTTCTGGGAGTGAATGATGCAGCTGCTCGTTCTGATTCCAGAGATAACATGTGCCTGAGGCACTGCTCAAGCTG